AGTAACAAGAAGCAAATAGAAACAAGAAGCTACTAGGAACAAGTGCACCGCTACTAGTAACAAGTGCCTTACTACTAACAAGAAGCAATAGTATGCGGGTACAGTGCTGTCACATCTGAGAACTGGGCCCACTTCCACACAACCTTTTCACCAGCCTTCAGTTGGGAGCTTTTTCATGTAGAAATACGTGCACAAAGGAGCAACTGCAAATCCGTGTGGGTACATGGAAGCAGGACAAAGCTTTATAAGCAAGTTGAGCCTCATCCTGCAATCCACATGAAAGGGAAACCGGAAAAAACAATGAACCTGGAGTCTTGGGGCTCTTTCATACTAGTGGCTTTGTCTGGTCAATTGCTGTGGCAGAATCAACTGCTGCCTCCAGGTAAATACCCTCCCCCTCTGCGACCGTGATGTTCTCTTTGCCCTTCTGTAGCCTTGGCACACGTTGTCAAGATTAAGAACTTCAGCTCACGATATCCAAAGCCGAAAGCACAACGGTTACAGGAGTAGGACGCTACTAGGAACAAGTGCATCGCTACTAGTAACAAGTGCCTTACTAGTAGTAACAAGAAGCTACTAGAAGCACGTCAGTCATTGTGGTTCGAGAACTCTTGTCAGTCGTCCGATGCTTCTCCCACTGTCTCTGTGCACGGCTGAAATTCACCGGTCACCACCAACAAGTACTCGTCGCAGTCCACCATTTGGATCGCCTGTGTTCTTTGATTTCCGAACGACAAGCTTCCGAGCTGACGTCTTTTGCCTTGAAACCTCCTTGGGCCAAAACACAAACGAGTAATACTATTTAGAATTAAAAAAAAGTAAATAACTAGTAATACTCATATTTAGTTTAGATTTACATTAATACTTAGCGTAAACCATTGTCCTTTTCTTTTTTTCGCGCGCGCGCGCGCGCTGGCGCCGGAGGGGCAGGCCGTAGGGGTAGGTTAGCTAGGTAGGTAGCTAGTAGAAGAGGTAGCTACTAGCTGCAAGTAAGCTACTACCGACGGGGACGCAGGATAGCGCTCGGACTAATGATTTGGTTCCTAGATATTTAGGGAAACTTAAGGTTGGAGGCCATCGCTCTTAGGTAGGAGGGACTTGGCTTTACTCCCCTTACTATTTGCCAACAACATCATCAACATCTCGTATCACTGAAGACTTCACGCTGTCAAACACTTGCTGTCCAAAAGCTGGACCTCAGGTGTCAAGATCTAAAAACAATCTTCGTGAGGAGGCTTTGGCATTCTGAACCAAACGGCATGTCCAGAAAACATTCCGAAGTGAAACGCATGCGAATAGAGAGATTGCCTTTCTTTTGTTCCAACTTATACAGTTATATAGATTTAATGATCAATAGAGAACACATTCCAATGAGATCTGTATTTTGGTGTTTCGCCATCTCTCGCCTCCCCGCAGTCCGTGCGTGAGCGTGCCACTCGGAGACCCCTGCCCGACAGAAACAGCCAAAGCGTGCTTACTGAGCCTTTGTCTTTCGTATCGAACAGTTTCCGAAACAATTCGAAGCAACAGGCAATAGGGGCCCTTGCACTTAGGAATTCACTGTCCAAACGCATTCTCAGGTCGTAGAAAGATAGTGCATGAAACCGCGTGTGCACTGTCTGCGCTGTCAAGACATCTCTTCGGAACGTCTCCTGGAATTGGCTTCGCCCGTTGGCTCCGCTCGGCCCAGGAATTCTGCGAACGACAACCTGAGCGACAGAGCGAAGCGCATTGAAGAAGTGCTTAGCAAAACATCGTTCAGTGACCAGAAGCGGAAGCCAAACATGTAGACTTTACGCAAGTCTTCAAGTTCATCACTTGCCATCTCGACTGAGCCAAAGAGTAGGGCAAAAAGTAAGGAATACATTTCTTTCCTTCAACAATCTTTCAAGGCCCATGCGAAGCATGTGAGACTGCGTCGGTGGCCTTCCAATGTGAAATGTCCATGCAAGCACGCGAGCAACTTCGCACTTTCATCTTTAGGTAAACTAGTAGCTTTTGTTACTAGTAGTAAGGCCAGGAGCCCCTAGTAGATTCTTGCTCCTAGTAATTGTAGAGCCCAGTCAAAGAGCTTGGATGGCCAGCTTGCGGTGGCAACGCTGATTCGTTTAGGTGCTCATGCTCCTTCCCTCGTAGATGAAAGCAAAACAAGGCCTCCTTTGCTTGAGGACCCTTGGGTAGAGCTGGAGGCCATTGCCATCAGGTTTTTTTGCTTGGCACATCCGAGACCATCCAGTTCTATCAGCCAAGGTCGACTAAGGGTCGAGTCCTTTGAACACGTTGGCTGTTGTGGCCCAGTTGTGGTTTTCAAGTCCGTTTGAACCCGTTTACCGTTGTCCGAGTTGTACGCTGCTGCCAAGCGTGGAGAGTCGTTTACCATGTCCAAGGAGAGTTCGCAATTGTAAGGTGGAGCTATCCTGCGTCCTACCTAGAAGCTATTAGATTGGAGGCCATCGCTAGTAGGTTGGAGGCCATTGCTCCTATCTGCATGCTTACTTAAGCTACTAGCTAAATCTTCTCTATCCGCCTAACCCATCTGGGCAACAAAAAATGTCCTTTCAGGATACAGTTTGCACGGCGTTGAGTCCATTGGATGAAATGGATCGATCGTCGAAGCAAGGTTGTGATGCGTATTGTGAAACACTTCAGCATAAACAAGGAGAGAGGAAGGACACAAGTCCACGAACACTCTCTTGAATGTACACTCAGCCTTGCCTGCCGGCGACGCGCGTGCGGCCGGTCTTGCTCCTGTCTCTCCGACGTGAAGAATTCTCGTGTCTATTTGGAACTTCATCGAAGTGACTCCTTCGTGGCAAAGAAAGACAGGGAATGCTCTCCTTCGCGTCCACTCTCGCCTTGATGTTGTCCACCCGAGAGCTCATGTCCGCGACTAGAGACCTGACATCTTAGATTTGGATCCCATTTCGTCTGACATGTGAGCCCCTAGTAGCGTCCTTGCTCCTAGTAGTAAGGCCAGGAGCCCCTAGTAGCGTCCTTGCTCCTAGTAGTAAACATGTGAGTCTAAGTCTAGAGATGCCTGGAACGTTTCATCAAAAGTCAATCTCGACTGGAGCGAGTCTAGCGGTCTTTAGTGCCTCAAGCTCTCCTGTGCGGGAGCAGACAACGACACCTGCAGTTTTGAAAGGATTGTTCAAAAGCTGAGACACCACGGGAAATCAAGGAGAAACGTAACAACATAAATCAAACCACGCGACAGCATGGGAGTATATCAGAGTTCTTGTTTGGCAGAAAGAGATTCAAATCATCACACAAAGCCGTCAGCGTTCACAGGGTTAGCCTGTTTGACATCTTCCGCCTCGGTGTTTGGCAGGTTCTGCAAGCAGCGTTGCACACAGGCAACTCAAAGTAGGGGAAGGCATTATCATTGGTCCAAACTGGAGGCTAAGTAACGAGGTGAAGAAAGGCGCTGGTTCACTCCAGGGTGTTTTCTGTTCTCACCCGTCAATGGCAATGTACTCCTTTTCGACAAAACATGACCTTCTAAAGCGTTGCAAGAACACCGCGAGGTTCTGAGCGTCGCGCAACGTCCAAGTCCTCGTAGTCAAACAAAGCCATCTGAGACCTCAACCAAGCGAAACGCTAACAAGGGCATCGCTACTAGTAACAAGGGCATTACTAGTAGCAAGAAGCTACTAGTAGCTAAGAGCATTGGCTTTTCCTCCTCTATTTTAGGTTGGAGGCCATCGCTAGTAGGTTGGAGGCCAAAGTCAAAGAATGAGTAGGGTCACTGAGGAGGGAAGCAAGCGAAGTCTCATAGAGGGAGTAAAACTTTGTTTAGAAGTACAAGATCTAGCAGATTCAACCCCCTTTGCTCTTGCAAGTATACCACATGGCAGCCAAGCCAAGCCCAGCCATACTGAACGGAAGTTGCACGAACACTCTAAGGCAAAGGCACTATTCTTGAAAATCCACGGCTCAAACTTCTTCCTTCCAGGTCCTTCCTCCCTAAGAACTTCAATTGCTGTGGTTGTTCTGCATCTGTTTTCAAGAGGAAGAACGTCTGCTTGGATCCTCTTGATTTTTCAAGGAAACTTAATGACTCTGACTCTGACGTCATCATATCAATCTACATAGAATTTCAAACGGCATCTCTCTGAAGTTGCATAACTTGAATGGTTGTTGGACAAAGATCAAGAAGACACCACTGTGGAAACCAGCTAAAGCTGAGCCAAACATGCCGGCGCGGTTCGCATTTTACTCTGCAAATTGGAACAACAGTGCGAAGCATTGAACTTTTGTCATCAAGCAATGCAATTAAGCAGTGTTTTAAGACAATGTACTGCACCGTGTCACGTCCAGTCGTTAGTGGAGTAAAAAGCAAACTACTATTAACAATAAAATCATTTGATGATCAAATTGAGCCATGCCTCTTGGCAGCCCGAGCACATGCCACTGCCACCGCTACAAATGGCACTGATGGCACCGGCCATTTGCGAAGATATTCTCCACGGCCTTGCTTTGGATGCCTTTGATACACTCCTGGAGGACAAAGGCAACTCGCACAAAGCGAAAAGAGCACACATGGTGAAGAAGACCCATCACTAACCGCTACTAGTAACAAGTGCATCGCAATTAGTAACAAAGGCATTATTACTAGCAGCTAGAAGCTACTAGTAGCAGGGGCCCGCATCGCTACTAGTAACATGCCAACAACAGCCGTTTCAATGGAGCAGTGGGTCCTGTCAAAGGAGTGCCAGCAATGGTGCGTGCGGGTGCAGAGAGCATTAGCTAGGGCTAGGGGTTCTGGTTCTAAACCTGAGCTGCAGCAACCCATATGGCAGCGAGCAAGCAATCGTCGTTTTGCAAGACGTACGTGACACCTACCTTTCTTCCAAAGGTGAACAACTTTTGAGCAGGAAAGGAGGAAGCTGTTGAAGAACGAACACCTCCGGTGGTTGAGTCTTGCCAAGCCATGTAACTACTGAACTCGAGGGACGTTGGAGCCAAAAGCAGCAAAATGTTCAAGCTCGTTCCCCTTTGCTTCATGATGCGTGCATGACTTGCATTTCAACATCTGTGACGTCCTCCTAAGTTCAGTTTCGCCACAAATCTAGGAACCAAATGAGCTATCCCGCGTCCGGTAGGTAGTAGCGTCTTGGCAACTAGGAGCAAACAAGTTTGTCCCTTACTTAATTAAGTAGGCGCCTACTTAATTAAGCAAGGGCGGGCTAAAAAACACATGAACGCTTAGAAGGACTTCATTTCGCTTGAGAACACGCACATCTGGTTCACTTGCTTTTGCTCGTGCATCATCTTCATCCCATCACTGGCCGTTCAGCTGGGACTCAGTGATAGGGTCAAAGACAGCGGTGAAGCAAATCACCCTTCAACGGTTTCTCCACCAAGCCAACATGAATGTACTTAAGCTATTGTCACAATGAGTGAACCACATGCCATCCAAACTAGGAAGCAAACCAGCAGCCGTAGGATTTGACTCGTGGCATCATCCTTCGACCAAGAATTGCTGATCTCAACTAGCTCGATGCTCCCAACACTTCTCAAAGCTTTCTGAAGCCCAAACATCTGATTCTGATGCGTGTCATCCAAGACAAAAGCATGACAGCTGCAGGCAAGACCAAACAATTATGCAACATCTCTTACGTCGGGTGCCCAAGTGCATACCCGCCACATGGATAGTTTATGGTCAAGTCTGTTCCATTTTGGATGATTGTTGGCTTGAGAAACACTCATATCAATTCACAAGCCGCTGCCTCCTTGGGAGACCTTGGCAAATCGAACAAATAGGTCCGATAACCTCCAACCTACTAGCGATGGCCTCCAACCTAAGAGCGTCCTTGCTACTAGTAGCGATGCCCTTGTTACTAATAGCAATGGCCTCCAACGTGTTCTATTTTGGACATTAGGCTTTCAAAGGTCCTCTCCCGTTTCAGCATGACCAAGGACCACGCGATGTAGCCTCGCCAGCGGATCTGGCCTCAGCTCAGAAAGCAAACACAATTCAGCAGTTTCTTCTTTGTCATTTCTTTGTAATTTCTTGCATCCTTTCTTGCAGAAACGCAGACTTGAAAAGCAAGCCGTGCTTCATGTGAACTCCCTGCCTGGTCTAGATCTTGAATCAGCGCACCCATCTGGCAGGGACTTCCCAATGAGAACACCAGCATTCTAGAAACTCCTTTGATCACCATTCTGGGAAGTGAACTCGACAGAACCCATGAAGAGATTTGAAGACCGGACAGAAGACGCTACTAGGGGCTCCTGGCCTTACGCTACTAGGAACCAAATCATTGGGGCGGCGGGGGGAGCTTCCTTGAAGAAGCGTGAGCTATCCTGCGTCCAGTAGGTAGTAGCCTCCTACTTTGCTAGTAGCATGTTTACTTCTCACTTACTCAATTAAGGAGGGAGGCGTGGCCATGGCTTCAAACACATATCGGCTTCTATCTTTGTTTGTCTCTTGCCTGGTGCTCCTGTTGCTTTTGTCTCGCTTGCTGCGCCCGTAAGCGTTGGAGCTCCTGCATCCGCCTGAGTGGTGCACTGGCGCAAAAAGAAAACACACATAGCATGAAAGCATATAGAAAAAACAGAAAACAGGGACACATGAAAGGCTTAAGTTTACATGTCAAACAACACACATAAACACGGAAAGAAGACAAAGCCAAAAGGATTAAGGTCAGGTCCTCATACCTTGTCTGGCCACAAACGAAGGATCTGGACCGACCTCTATCTCCTGTCAATCAGTTTCGATCGAAACCATCTTTTGAAACAATCACATTTCTCATTTCTCTTGGCCATAGGCCCTGACTAGCAAAAACGAAACAGCTTTCACGAATGCTTCAAAATGGCTTGAGTTCTTGAACTTATGTAGAACGCTGTCCTTCACAAATGGGGCGGAATGCTTGAAGGCCCCACGACTCCGCAGCAAACGCTCCTTCTTAAGACCTTGTAGCGCCTGCTGCACGCGCTCCATGGCCTTCCACGTGAAGTCTCTCGGCAGAATGGAATTACGTGTTTATCGAGTTACGAATGGCGATGGCCTCCAACCCAGCTTCATGTTTATGGAAAAAGGACAACTACTGTTTGATGCAGACGATGGGAGAAAATCAAGAAACAAGCGGGCACTGAGTCGCCCCTGGCAGAAACACGCACGCTACACTTGCTTTGGGAAACTTTTGCATTTTCCATTTCATCTCTCTTTCCTTTGCATTTAGTATGTTTTCCTTTATTCGCACCTTTAGCAAAAGCAATAATACCAAGACCGCGTTCTTAAAGGCTCTTTAGGGCCTTTGAAGTCTGCCCGCCTCATCACAGGCCGTTTGCGAGGCTGCGCCCATTGATGCATCTGTCAAGATTCGTTCGCATCTTTGATGTTGAAACTGAAAGTCAAACAAACATACATAAACTTAGGTTGGAGGCTATCGCTATTAGGTGGGAGGCCATCGATATTAGTAACTCAAAAGCATACATAAACCATGTCAAGTTTTCCCAAACACCTAGGAAGCAAGTCATCAAGCCTGAGTCTGAGTCCTTCTGCCCTCCTTAGCTTACTTAAGCTTACTAGCAGCCCACCCCGCCCCAACCTCAAAAAAAGAACATGAAACGTGAAAAAATAGCACATCAACCACTTGCCATACTCTTTCGATTCATCTAGTTCTGTGTGGCAAGTGGCAAGCCTTGGTCTTAGCAGTCTTAGTCTAGCCCAATGCCCTCTGGTGATCTACGTCTGACTCTCTGACCTCGCTTGTCTGGATGAAGCAGCCGCATAATCTGACGATATTTCGACCTGCAGTTTTGTCGCTACTAGGAGCAAAGGTCATCGCTACTAGGGGCTCCTGGTGTTACTACTAGGAGCAAGGACGCTACTAGGGGCTCCTGGCATCGCTACTAGGAACAAGGACGCTACTAGGAGCTCCTGGCATCGCTACTAGTAGCAAGGACGCTCAGTTTTGTCGTTATCGCACAATCCGCAGAGTTGGTCTGCGTCCATCTGTTTGCTGTACATCTTTGATGTGCACATGTAGGAGGCCATTCCTGAGGCCATTACTGCACTGCAGAAAGCTCCAAGTCACCCTCTTGACCTCAAACAAATCAAGTAACATTGGATTCGCCCGAGAGAGATTAAGACATCAAAAGTTTTATGATGGACTTATGTGGACTTAATATGAATGTCTTGACAAAAGCTTCAAATATTTGATCGGAAAAAGTAGGGCGCAGCCCCTTTACATAAAGGGTCCTTTTAAAAGCCCTTGTTAAAGAGATCCTTACCTTTCTTTTGCAATCTCTTCTTTTGGACGTTTTGGACTTACCTAAATGTGCAGTCCTTCTTTCTTCAGGGCCACGAGCTACGTTCGTAGCGTCCTTGCTCCTAGTAGCGATGCCAGGAGCCCCTAGTAGCTTCTTGTTCCTAGTAGTAAGGCCAGGCCCTAGTAGCGTCCTTGCCCCTCAAAGTGTACTTTCTACGCTGTACATCAATGAGTTCGCATAAGCTGGCACTGAGGGACTTGCTGAGCCCCAGGATCTCTCTGTAGTCATCCACTGCCGCCAGCCTGACATTCAACCGAAGATGCACTCTTACTGGTAGGCGAGGTTAAGGCTTGGGGGCTTAAAGAGCTCAAGAGCGCAACAAAAACTGCAAGTTTTCAAATGCTACTAGGGGCTCCTGGCATCGCTACTAGGAGCAAGGACGCTACTAGGGTCTCCTGGCCGTACTACTAGGAACAAGGACGCTACTAGTAGCTACTGCCTCTCTGCTCTCACCATCCCGACCTGATGCGTGAGACCTCCGAGGTGAGGTTGAGACTTGGCTCACTCTCTTCTGGCCTTGACTTCGCTGGAAGAAAGCTACAAATTACCAGAAACAAAACTCACAAAAGGCATTTTGGCATTCTTTCTTTCTTGAGACCTTTAGATACCTCGGTTTGAACCTCACCTGGATCAAAATCTACGAAGTCATCTCTGAGGACTGCGCATCTGCGGCATTGATCCCACGGCTCTTCGAGCTTCTTCCAAGGCCTCGTCTACCTCGACCTCAAGGGGCAAACGCGAACGCACAGCGAGCGCAAAAACCCAGTGAAGCTCTTTCAAAGATTACATGAATTCTTCCCGCGACGCTTGGTAAGGACATCCTGAGCACGTTCTGACTACGCAGTGTTTCTGTTTCTTCCATGTGTAAACTTTCCTGGCCTTACTACTAGGAGCAAGGACGCTACTAGGAGCTCCTGGCATCGCTACTAGGAGCAAGGACGCTATTCCCTCGCGCCTCTTCACCGAGGATAAGGCGTCCCAAAGCGGCCCCGAACGCAGGATTCGCACCATCCTCGCACGGTTAGTCGAGATGGTTAGAGACAGTCAGAACGACGGTTAGACTGAGACAGTGCATCCTGGAGGTGAGTTATTTTTGATCAACAGGTGCCACGCTAGTAGTAACAGGTGCCACGCTATATGTTTGATTATTTTTTTTTGGGGGGTAGGCCGGTAGAAGAGGTATAGGTAGTAGCTAGATGTAACGATGTAGCTAGTAGAAGCTAGGTAGCTACTACATATGGACGCAAGATAGCTCACGCTTCCTTGAAGCCTTGAAGATGCGCTCGCACCATTCATTTGGTTCATAGACTTTTAGGGAACTGAACTATAGCAAACTATATATGCATAAACTCTCTTTTTCAAATCTAGGTTTGAAGAAACTTTGTCACTTTGTTTGTCACTTCATGATAGTCCCCTTTTCGGAAGCATTCCAGCCTGTCCTCATGAGATTGTCTCCTTCGAGATTTAGGAGGTTCTTCACCTCAGGTGGTTCCAAAAGACTTTCAGAACCACCACCCTACACTATTTACAGCGAACACTTGCTGCACCACTGGAAGCTTTTAGGTTTTGGACTGGGATGATGACAGTGGCTGAACGCTTGAAAGGTCGAACACTTGAAACTATGAGTAAGGACATCGTGATGGGAAACAAGGGAAGAAACGCTTGGATGGACAATTTGAAAGTTTGACCTAAACCAAGCCCAATGAAACACCAAAGAAGTGAAGCCCTTCTTCTCCTCCTCCTTTCTTTTCTGAGGTCCTGCTTGCCCTTGTTCTCATTCTTGTTATATGGTGAAGTGGCTTCTAGGTTTCATGACTCTGGTGTGGGCTTCTCGACAATGTCTTCTCCCTTTGGGACTGAGTTCTCTTGTTTTTTTTTCATTATGGACTGAGTCAATCGCTCTTAGGTTAGAGGCCATCGCAAGTAGATTGGAGGCCATCGCTACGAAGTCTCTTTTCACAACAATAAGCTACTAGGAACAAGTGCATCGCTACTAGTAACAAGTGCCTTACTAGTAGTAACAAGAAGCTATTAGGAACACTAATTAAATAGAAACCTCTTTTCACAACAATAAGCTACTAGGCACAAGTGCATTGCTTCTAGTAACAAGTGCCTTACTAGTAGTAGCAAGAAGCTATTAGGAACAAGAATTAACATAGAAAGCTCTTTTCACAACAATAAGCTACTAGGAACAAGTGCATCGCTTCTTAGTAACAAGTGCCTTACTGGTAGTAACAAGAAGCTATTAGGAACAAGAATTAAATTAGAAACCTCTTTTCACAACAATAAGCTACTAGGAACAAGTGCACCGCTTCTAGTAACAAGTGCCTTACTAGTAGTAACAAGAAGCTATTAGGAACAATAATTAACTTAGAACCATCTTTTCACAACAATAAGGTACTAGGAACAAGAACTAAATTAGAAATCTCTTTTCACAACAATAAGCTACTAGGAACAAGTGCATCACTTCTAGTAACAAGTGCCTTACTAGTAGTAACAAGAAGCTACTAGGAACAATAATTAAATTAGAAACCTCTTTTCACAACAATAAGCTACTAGGAACAAGTGCATCGCTTTTAGTAACAAGTGCCTTACTAGTAGTAACAAGAAGCTATTAGGAACCAGAATTAAATTAGAAACCTCTTTTCACAACAATAAGCTACTAGGAACAAGTGCATCGCTTCAAGTAACAAGTGCCTTACTAGTAGTAACAAGAAGCTACTAGGAACAAGAATTAAATTAGAAAACTCTTTTCACAAAAATAAGCTACAAGTAACAAGTGCATCGCTTCTAGTAACAAGTGCCTTACTAGTAGTAACAAGAAGCCATTAGGAACAAGAATTAAATTGGACACCTCCTTTCACAACAATAAGCTACTAGGAACAAGTGCATCGCTTCTAGTAACAAGTGCCTTACTAGTAGTAACAAGAAGCTATTAGTAATTTAATTCTAATTTAACTTGTTCCTAGTAGCTTCTTGTTACTACTAGTAAGGCATTTGTTACTAGTAGCGATGCACTTGTTACTAGAAACCTCTTTTCACACTGAGTTATCGCAGAAACGAAGCCTCTGAGTTCTTGGACCATCCGAGACCTCGTAGACGTGCACCACGGGACGTTTTTGCCTTACGCAAAAAGAGCCATTTTGCACATTGCCAATGAACAGCTTTTTGCAAACCGGATATCAGTTATATAAATATATAAGGAAAAAAGAACACCTACTGAACAAACCATGAAAAGCATCTTTTATACATGTTATTTTCATTTTTACTTTTCTTCCATATATATATATATATGTTATATGTATATATCAATACACCTATCAGATATGGAAGGATCAACAAACTATATTGTCACCATCTGGGCATCAGCACGCTGCAAGTTCTGGAGGCCAATGAGAGGGAATGTCGTGCCTCCCCAAACGACTAGAGACAAAACAAGGAAGCTCACACATTGTGTTTTACTTTTTCCCTTTTCTTTAGTTGAGTCATTTATCGTTTTTTCTTTGGTGGTACTTACTTTTTTTCAGACCTTTCCTGCTACTCTCTTCTGCTACTCTCTTCTGCTACTCTCTTCTGCTACTCTCTTCTTTTTTGTCGAATTTGAGTTGAGTCCTTCTGCTTTGTCCGTCTGAGCAGATTACTCTGCATCTGTCTGGAAGGAGTACATGACTCTCCGACTCCTTCTCGCCTCACATCGAACAGCATCTAACAAACAGCAAGATCCTCACATCGAAAGACAAGAAGGAAACGGAGGCCATCGCTGGGAGCAAGGACGCTACTAGGGGGGCTCCTGGCCTTACTAAGTAGGAACAATGTTCGATACTAGGAACAAAAAGCATCGCTACTAGTAGCTAGAAGCTATTAGGTTGGAGGCCATTGCTATTAGGAAGGAAAAGGAGAGTCCAGGAGAGCTTCGACGGAGGCATTTCAGACTTGAGCCACTGCAAGCAAACGTGAAGAATTTACAGTACTTAGTGTTTGGCCTGCCAGCTTGCCAAGCTTGCCAAGCTGCTCTAGATCCATGGCATGTTGACAAATGCACTAAATTCTTTCCTCTTCACCTGCCTTTCTGCCTTTGGACATCTCTCCGCTGCTCAGTTCCATCGCTGTTGTAGCGAATCTAACATTTGGATCATCTTGATATCAAGTCTCATGATGCATGATGCTGATTCTGAAGCTTTAGCTTGAATGAGCAAAAGACATGTCACCGAACGAAAGGTGACCGTGACCCTTGCGGCAGTAGAAGAATGGAAGAAACGTTGAACCTCTCATTGTTCAACTGTTGGGCAGGAGAGTGCGCACATTTGCTTGTTCCTTCATGTTTTGTTCTCAATCAGGCCTCACCTAGCTGACTGATTCTGCAAACCTATCTAGAATTGATAGTGCGCATCTGCATATCATTGAACCTCGCAGCTTGTTGATTGGGAGAGTTGGATCAACTCAGACTCCTGGTTTTGCACGCGACTGGTGAAGCAGTTGCATTAGATGCCATGCACGAATTCAACCAAAAAACTCGTCTAAGTCACATGCCAGAACAAGGATCTGCACCCACATAGAGAAACAGGATAAGTTGGTTGAAGCTTATGAGCTACATACATGTACATATCAAATCTTGGTGCGACTCCCGCTGGCCGCTCCGGCCATCTCCATTCGCATTAGCGCAATCCCGGCGATCCCCAACCTGCAAGGAGCGCTAAGAGTGGATAGGCCCAACGCGCAGTTGTCTGACCAGCGTCCGATCGCTAGTAGCGAGGCCAGGAGCCCCGAACGTAGCGTCCGATCGCTCCTAGTAGCCTTCGACAACTCATTCTCTTTGTCCTCTTTCTGTTTTATT